TTACACCACTGCATTCCAGCCTGGGTAACAGAGTGAGACCCTGTCTCTACAAAAAAGAAAAAAAGTGTTTGCACAGACTCACTGCTTGGGATTTTCAAGGCACACGCTGCAGGTGCTTGACAGTCTTTTGTATTACCATGAGGGAAGCACTGGGCAAGGGCGCTGTGGCACTGTGAGGGCTATAGGACTACGTAATGAATGATGACAATGTTGACCTGAGAGAGGTACACAGAGCTCCAACCCCACTGAAAAGATGCTTCTTAAATGCACAAATCTTGCATGCATTCATGGTCCAGAATGCACAGGCAGTTGCATAACCAAAAACTATCATCTGTTCAGAAGCTGACATTTCTCTGGACAGAAGATGGTGCTGTTGTCAGTGCAGTGTGCTTTTTCCATCCTTTCCAGTAAATGTTCATAGTTGCAAAGTGGAAAACAAGTATAAAAATAAAGAAAATAGCAATTACATAGCAAGACTTCAGCTATAGCTTTCAGCTGTTTACCTCTAAGGCTCTAAGAAAGGGAAGGAGATTCTTGACAGGCTCTGTCTGAAATTTTTGCCTTGTGATGTTCCCCCTGAAAGCCCTCAGAGAACCTCCATGGAAAAATGCAGCCACGGAATCATTAACACGTTTATGGTGAGTGCGATATCTAGAAAACTCAAATTCCCAGTGGAGATCTGTGGCAGACACCATTCATTATTAACCCCACAACCATCCTCCCTTCTCCCTCGCTGTCAAACCCTCATTTTGCTCAGGATGGCAACATACTGACCCTTGGCCAATGGCTCATGTTTAGGCAGCAAACAGGACAGGCCTGTTCCCTGCTTGTCCAACCATCATGACAAGTCAGGCAATGGGTGCTGCTGGCTGTGTCCTAGTCTTGGACAATGAGACGTAAGCAGCAGTCTGCTAGGGATGTGTCTGGGAAAGCTTTTGCTTCTGATAAAAGGAAAGAAACCATCGCTGCCACAATTCTCCTCTGTTCCTTCCTGCCTGATCACAGAGTGCTCTCTGGACCTATAGCAGCCAGCTTGAACCCATGAGAGAACAAGCACAAAATGACAAACACCACACACAAAGTGGCAGGGGAGAAAACGCACAAGGAACCAGGGTTCCTTGAAGCCATTCAACCAATGCTAGCAAATATCTATTTCTTGACAGTTTATGAGAAAAATAAGTCCCTGTTTGTTCAAGCTTCTCTTGAGTTTTCTATATTTCTATCTGATACAGGACGCCCACCTGGTTGCTTATTGTTTAGTACTGCTAACTCCATTAGTTTTGACCACCTCACTCTTTCCAGGGTTAGAGGCCTCCTCCTGAGTGGTCACCACCATCATTTCTGCCTTGAAACTGACATTCACTGTTGCCCAGACTTGATCATCCTGGTTAGACCTATAAAGAAACAGAAAACAACAAGTAGAATCACCAGAAATCTTTAATCACTGGAAGACACATGTTCATACTGAATGCCTGGACCTCACCCCAGGCCAGTTCATCTAGAAACTCTGAATACAGGGCACAGTCATCTGTATTTTTTTTAAGGTTCCACAAGTGGATTGAGAACTGCTGGTCTTATTCATACGTTCCCCACTCACATGGCAGATATGCATAGCAAATTGCCAAGGAAAGGAAGGAAAATAGTTAAGTATTGGGATAAGCCATCCTTTCAACATTCAGCAATTCATTCCGTTATACATAGATACTGTCTCACCTTGGCTTGGTCAGCCTTGCTCTTTGACTGATGGGCATAAAGAGAAGCACGAACTACTTAGAGGTTCAGTGGACTAACCAAAGGGAGGAAAGGGTGACCTGCCCACTCTCACGGTGTCTCCAAGACCATGCTCATATCATACTGACTGCTTCTGTGTGTGTCGCCTGAGACTCCAGTAAAACTGCTACAAACAACTGGAGTCACCAAATTTTCGATCAGTTTATCTTTTAAACACAATCTAAAAGCATTTTTAAAAGAAAAAAAAAGTTCTTACTCTTGCTACTAACTACTTATTTCTTTTTTGTTTGTTTGTTGTTGTTCTTTTCTGCAAACAAACAAAAAAGCCTCTGCTTCAGTGGGCGACACAGTTTCAATACCTGTAAGGTCATCTATGGAGGCTCCTTCCAGTCCTCGGTCTGGCTTCTTTAGTCTTCAGTCAAATCCATAAGGGTTTGGCAGGCAGAGAGTGTAGGATTAAGCCTGCCCATCCAGCCTGCTTCTGAGGCAAAATCAGAATTCATAGGCTCTCTGCCACTGTCAGAATCGCTCCCTCTGCTGCTTCTGACACAGGAAAGAGATGGCAATAGATTCAGTCACACAAGGATTCCTATTAAATGATGAATTGTGATGCCATAGAAGGCAGCACCTCACTGCAGGGAGAAGTCGAAACCCAGGGAGTTCTCGCCAGTGTGAGCACGCCAGAGGGGCCTTTAATAGCTGCATTTGCAATAAAGAAGGAGGTGAAATCCATTACCGGCTGTCTTTATTTTGCTAGCCCACAGATAAGTGATTGAAGTCTAGAGAAAGCTCTTCCAAACACGTTTTACCTGCTGCATTTAGCCGGAGACTTGGACATACCAGGCCAATCAAATCATCACCAATAACAGGCGCTACGGAGGTACTAATAGCTTTTCCTGGAATACTGGGAATTCCCTTTCCCTACTTTGTAAGTAGGTAACCTTAGAGAGGGTCTGGAAGACCGATTGAAATTTTTGTACCAGGTCTCAGAGCCAGAGGGCATTGACTGCCTATTAAGTAGATGTTGCTGATTCCTCAGGAGGGTGTGACAGGCTCTTTAGGTGAGCTACTGAAACAGTTTTCAGGTTTCATGCTTGAGGTAGTGTATGGGTTTTGGGGTTATTTTTCTACTTAGGGCAAAAGCGGCTTATACCTCACAAAACAGATTCCACTGGCATCAGACACCTCTGCAAGGCAGTTTGCAGGCTTTGTCCTAGTTCTCCTGCAGTGTGGCATCTATGTTTTCTTCCCACTTAAACATGTTGTCTGCTGGGTTCTTTCTTTGTAAATGAGGATGTTTTAGGATGATAGTAACACTATACTGGTGAACTCCAACTAAGACAGATTGCCCTCTGTAGCGTGGGTGGGCCTCATGCAATCAGTTGAAAATGTGAATAGAACAGAAAGATCAGCCTCCCGAGCAAAGGGTAATTCCACCAATAGACAGCCTTTGAACTTCATCTGCACCATCAGCTCTCCTGGGTCTCCAGGCTGCCAGCCAATAGTGCACATTTGGACTTGCCAGCCTCCATAATCGCATGAGCCAATTCCTTATAATAAATCTCTTTCTATATATGCGTACATCTCATTGGTTCTGTTTCTCTGAAGAATTCTACTACACAAGAGTTCCCAAACTCTTAAGTTCTTCTGAAAACATTGTTTATCAAATGCCGTAAAGTGAAAAGGAAAAGACATCTTCGCTGAAAGTGTTGAGATGTTCAGTTTAAAGATTGATGTGTTCTTATTTTTTTATTTATATATATACTTATTATTGTTGTTGTTGTTGTTATTATTATTATTATTATTATTTTGAGACGGAGTTTCACTCTTGTTGCCCAGGGTGGAGTGCAATGGCGCAATCTTGGCTCACTGCAACCTCCGCCTCCCGAGTTTCAAGCAATTCTCCTGCCTCAGCCTCCTAAGTAGCTGGGATTACAGGCATACGCCACCACATCCAGCTAATTTTTTTTGTATTTTTAGTAGAGATGGGGTTTCTCCATGTTGGTCAGGCTGGTCTCGAACTCCCAACCTCAGGCGATCTGCCCACCTTGGCCACCCAAAGTGCTGGGATCACAGGCATGAGCCACCTCACCTGGCCAGATTGATGTGTTTTTAAGCTGGTTTTGAGATGGAGTCTCTCTCTGTTGACCAGGCTGGAGTGCAGTGGCGCAATCTCGGCTCACTGCAACCTCTGGCTCCTGGGTTCAAGCAGGTAATCTCATATGTTTCTAATGATGAGTGGTTTTACTTTTTAAGTTCTGTGCTGCTCCCATCAGCTAATAAATACCTCAATGTTTCTGAGTCTGTAGGAAATAGGTGCTATTTAACTAACTTTTCTCAATCTAGCAGTCAATTAGTCAAGATGGATTTCTGCCTCTGTCTGCTGTATACTCCCTGTGCATTTCACAAAAGCCCCTGTGACAGGGCAGGTTTATCTTCCTCCCCCTTTCCCTGTGCCAGTACCTACCCAGGCTAAGGGAAAAGAAGGGAGCTTGTCATGTGAGCCAGGCATGGGAAGAAGACAGCCAGCCGTGTAGCATAAGGCCATAAAGGAGATATACCAGCAGGAGGTAGGTTTTCTTCATTGTGAAAGAATGAATTGTTTTTCAGTTACTTTACCCAGAGACTAAACCTTGGAAGAATCCTCTTCCTGTTTCCCTCCTCCATCCTCAAAGTTGAAGACCTCCTCTCCACTCCTTTACACACACACACACACACACACACACACACACACACAGATTGAGAGAGAGAGAGAGAGAGAGAGAGACAGACAGACAGAGCATCCCACTCCTTATCTGGCAGCAGATAAGAACACAAAAAGCCTGAGCATCTTAGCAGCAGGAGACCTGAAACTAGACCAAGAAGACTTTGGGGGTAGGTGGAGTGAGGGAGGGGGTCTGTGTAAGCAAAAGTGTTAAAGGACAAAGAAACAGTGAGAGAATGATAATAGTCAGTTATTGCAAAATGTACTGCCCCACCGTCCCCACCCAATTCCTTTTGCTAGGAGGAGCAAAGTGCTGGGTTTGGCTGCAAAGGAAGTAGAAGAAATAGTCCTTGATCTTACTTGCATTCAGTTTGAAAATCTAGGTATCAGTACACTAGTACCAAATCTAGTATTCTTTGGGCAATTTCTTTTCATAGCTAGAGATGACATTACAAAAAATATTAATGTCTGTATGAATGAGCAGAGCTGTGCAGTTTAGCACTCGACCACAGTTCTCTATAAATACCGATGCCCACCAGTTGGGAACTATAGTGGTGGGTTTGTTTGCTTGTTTGTTTTGAGATGGAGTTTTGCTCTTATTGCCCAGGCTGGAGTACAATAGTACAATCTTGGTTCACCGTAACCTCCGCCTCTGGGGATCAAGCGATTCTCCTGCCTCACCCTCCTGAGTAGCTGGAATTACAGGCATGCACCACCATGCCCGATTAATTTTGTTTTTTGGGTTTTTTTTTGAGACGGAGTCTCGCTCTGTCGCTGGAGTGCAGTGGCCCGATCTCAGCTCACTGCAAGCTCCGCCTCCCGGGTTTACGCCATTCTCCTGCCTCAGCCTCCGGAGCAGCTGGGACTACAGGCGCCCGCCACCTCGCCCAGCTAGTTTTTTGTATTTTTTTTAGTAGAGACGGGGTTTCACCATGTTAGCCAGGATGGTCTCGATCTCCTGACCTCGTGATCCACCCGTCTCGGCCTTCCAAAGTGCTGGGATTACAGGCTTGAGCCACCGCGCCCGGCCTAATTTTGTATTTTTAATAGGGATGGGGTTTCTCCGTGTTGGTCAGGCTGGTCTCGAACTCCTGACCTCAGGCAATCCACCTGCCTCAGCTTCCCAAAGTGTTGGGATTACAGGCGTGAGCCACCGCGCCCGGCCAGTGGTGGTTTTTGAAGAGCGTGTTGCTGCTAATAACTTTGCCCCGTTTTTTTTGTGCCAGGGACCGTCCAATGGCTATACTCAAATGAATTTGCTTTGCCTAAGTTCTTAGCACTTGTCATGCCCCTGAAGATGGAAAACAGTGTCAAGATCAGTAAGAACAATGAGATCCAGCAGATATTGGCATGCCTGTGGTGCCCCAGGCACTGTATTAGGGCAGTCACTATCCCAGGCCTCCCCAGGGAGCTTACAGACTAGTTTATCTTTGTCTGTTTGGCTGCTAGAAGACACTATCATAGACTGGGTCACTTATAAACAACAGAAATGTATTTTCCACAGTTCTGGAGGCTGGGAAATCCTAGATCAGAGCAGTGACACATTTGGTGTCTGGTGAGGGCCCTCTTCTAGATTGCAGAGGGCTAACTTTTCGGTGTATTCTCACACAGCAGAAGGGGCAAGGCAGCTCTCTGGGTTTTTTTGTGCTCTCATGACCTGATTACCTCCCGAAGCCCCTACTTTCTGATACCATCACCTTGAGGGTTAAGATTTTGACATGTGAATGTGAGGGGATACAACATTCAGTCTGTAGAATAGTATAAATAATTCTACGGAAAATTAATAATTTTATTTATTTATTTATTTATTTATTTATTTATTTATTTATTTGAGATACAGCAAGACTCTGTCGCCCAGGCTGGAGGGCAGTGGAACAATCTCGGCTCACTGCAACCTCCACCTCCGGGGTTCAAGCAATTCTCCTGCATCAGCCTCCCAAATAACTGGGATTACAGGCA